ATTCCTCCACGTGAGGGTGGTGCATCTCAGACACCTCTGTCCTTGGAGGTGCATAGAACTCAACTTGACAAGGCCTAGCACAACCTGATCTAGCTTTGGACTGGGGAGTTGGACTACAGACCTCCAGAAATGCCTTCCTAACAAAAGCTCCTGGCGATTCTCCATCACGGTGGGAGGGAGGGAATACGCTGTCTTCCTTTGGGGCTTCTGGCTGCCCCCTGCTCTGAAATGTCCCTAGTGCCCAGGACAGATCTGAGACAGTACGTGCGTCTCCTTCGCTACCTGGCCTGCTTTCCTCCTTGTGCAACGTTAACACTGCAGGGAGGATGTTTGGTGTGGTTCCTCCATGGCCTGGCAAAGGCTAGAAGCTGTGTGTCCCAGCAGGCTTGCCTGGAAGAAAGGTCTGAAAACCCAGAGGTGAGCGGGAGCTGGCCCCGCTGTACTGCACGGTGCTGTGCACTTACAGCCAGCCAAGGAAATAACACAGCTGCTGCAACTCAGAGCCCCCTAACATGCTTTTGCAGATCTTCTCTTTTACCTCTTCAAGGAGTATTTCTGTCTGTGCATCCATGGTTTTACTGATGCAGAGCAGTGACTGAGCAGCCAGAGGAACGAGACAAGGGAGGAAAATGACTGCAGGCATGTATTAAAGCAGTCAGCTTGTCCAGCTGAAAGAGATTTCTGCCAAACGATTTTATAAGGAATGAGGCATTTTACAGGAAAAGCAGGGCCTCTCCTCTCATTTCCTTTCCCCTCTTCTCTATGAACTTCAAATAAAAGAGGGGTCAAAACAGAGGCCAGGCAACTGGAACGGAGTTCCTGAGCCCTAAAGCCTAATTAGTCCAAGATACATTTCATTGGCTATCTCTCAGACACAGGCCTAAATTACCAATCCTCCCTGCCGTGCCGCCGGGGGCTGGATAAAACCAGAACGTGGTCTGCAGTTCGCAGGGCCCCAGGAGCGCCAGGGCTCTCGGGGGGTCTCGCCCCAAGCCTCGCTGGTGGCAGGGCTCTCCCACCCCCCAGGCTTTGCATGGCTACAGCCAAAACCCCCTCCCCAGGACAGGGACCATCCCCACCTCCCTGGTGCCTTGTTCCAGGGTTGCTGGCAAAAGAGTTGTGCCAGCTACAACCTCGCAGTGCCTGCTGCCCCTCATTGCATTGGCTACCAAAACACCTTCAGCGATTTGCAACTGCCCATCCAGCAGTTTCAGGCTGATGTTAAACCCTGCTCCTGCCTCCCCTTGGCCAGGCAAGCCAAGCCCAGCTCCTGCCAGCTCTGCCTGCAGGCCACGTGCCCCTCGCCCCTTCCAGTCTTGGAGCTGTTTGCTGTCCCCCCTCCAGCTTCTCCGCATCCCTCCACGATGGATGCCCAGCAGAGGGGATAATAACGTCCCTCAATCTGCGTCTCTTTGCCTGGCCCGGCATGTGGCTTACCTCACCAGCAACGAGAAGCAAAGCTTGGTTTTGCACACACTTAAGGATTCTCTGGAACTGCACACCAATTTCAAGTTGCACGTCTCTCCCTCCAAGGGGTCTTGGGGTGGGTTTTTTTTTCGGGACCCCAAAAAAATATTCTCAAGAACAGAAAGACAGAAATGACACGGGCTGTTTCCCCTACGCAGCCTCTCTCAAGGTGCTGGCCTCAGAGGGGTGCATCTCATTTTGAGACTACAGCAAATGCACTTTGATGGAAGGACTCATTTCCGTCCTTGTGGTCTGAAAGCTGAGAAAAGCAAAACTCTACTGCAGGTCACTAGACTGTAATTTGGAGAGCAGAGAAAGGACGTCATTGTCATCGTAAGCTCAGGTGGCCTCCTGGTGCCATAGCACAGCGCTGGAGCATAGGAAACTAAGCCTTGCAGCTTGCGAGGCAGCAGACAGTTGCATAGGAAGCCTGACGCCTGTCTGGCAGAAAATGTGAGGTCCCCACGGGTGTACAGCTACCCTAACCTGTGGGCTGTGATTCTGCACCCCAGCCGGCACCTGGATCCCGCTCCCCAGCCACCACAGGCAGGTGACCCGGTTAGCATAAGGAACAGCTCACTCCTGGCTCGGTGCTCAAGCTGCTCTCCCAGGGAAGTAAGACAGCAGGAGGGATGCAGGCGGGGAGTGCAGAAAACTGACTACTTTTGAATTGGGAGGGATCTGAAAATTATTCTGTTAAATCTTCTGCCAGGAAAAAAGGTAAAATTCTTCCCTTAAAAATTTTGATTCCAAGGCACTTGCTCAGCTCTCACTTAAAGAGCAGGTCTGGGACCAATGAAGACTGGGTAACTGGAGCAAGATTGTTTAGGGTAACTGGAGCAAGATTGTTTATCTCCCTTTGCATCCATTTCCCAATAGAGCCAAAATACAAAATGGAAACCTTTCCTTCCCTTAGGTAATGCTCTGCCAGAGCTGGCATCCTGCGAGTGTTGGCTGGAAGGACCTCTGGAGGTCTCCAGATGCAGGACTACTGCCAGCAGCAGATCAGGTTGGCTGTAGCCGTGTCTAGCCACAAAGCCAAAGTCTGCTTCTCATGTGTTTGCACAGCACTTTGTGCATCAGGACCCTTTTCCTGGATGAAGTTCACGGCGAGCTCTGACTCACTGCACAGCGAGGTTGAGCTGGGGCGTCCACCTCCCTCTGCAGCTCTCGGGGAAGGAAGGCCAGATGGGGTACGCACCACCAACATCCGTCCAGTCTGTTAGCGCATTCCTGTGCCGGTTTCACCTTTCAAAAAAATGCCATCCTGAGGACTGTGATGGTTCGGGACCAGGTAGCCTGCCTGTTTGGCTTTTCCTGCTAGGGGCCAGTAACACAGGAGGGAGGGCAGGCAGGAGAGCACCAGCTGAATTTACTGACGGATTGAGCCAGATTCCTATGTGCTGCCAGCACAAAAATAGCTGCCATCTTTGGATTTTACAGCTTTGCTTTGTTACAGTCTGGATCAGACTTGTTTTCAAAACAACCTTCAAGAGACATAAATACACCTGTCATTGAACACAAATATGCCTGGAATGATTAACTGATACTTCCCGGCAGTAATCCCCGCACCTCTATATCAGCAGTTAAAAAAAATTAGTTGGGATCACAGAGAGGAAACAACTGCATGCAAAACGTTAGCTGTGTGCCTCACTCACTATTTTTTCAACTTTATGCTATTGGATTACTTTGTTAAGCACTCTGGGGACAGAGACAGCGAAGAACAGCTTTCATTGGCAAAGGCAAGCAGTTTCTCACACACGGCTCTATTTTCCATGCCTCATCCAGCAAATTGTATGCTAAGCCTAAAAAAACAGCAAGGAACAACTCTATCCAAGAGGGGCCGAGTAGTCCGGATTTCACATCCCTGTGTGCTGGCAGTCTAGCACCGGTATCAGGAACTTACTGGGAGCAGGTGGGAAGTGCCCCATACTGGGGAGACACAAGCAGCAAGATCCTTGGTGCTGCCCCAGGAGTGAGGAGCTCCCTTCCCGGCAAGGCCGCCTAAGCCTACATGCAGCCAGGAGGGACAGTCAGCTTTATTCGTCTTCTAGCATTAACCAGAGCTTTGAGACTTTTGGCCTCGGTCAGAGTCCAAGCAGCACAGATGGGCTGCCACGGCCACCCTTTCTGTGTTTAAAGAACAGTTGTGTCTCACGTGCCCCCTTGCCACTCGAGGACTCTGCCTGGTACAGCAGCATTTTTCCAATTCTTAGTCCATAATTAAAGCAGCCAAGATACGCTATTAATTTCCCTACTAATGAAATATTACTTTATGCAGTGTCATTCTTTCGCACACGGCCACACTCTTGAAACACAGAGCTCGCACTGACTTCAGGCTTGCAAACAGGAAGACCGATCCCTGGTTTGCATCTGCAAACCTGCACGTGCAAAGAAGCCGGTGGCCAAGGAGCTGTTCCACATCACGCCAAGCCCGGCCTGCGGCCCGACATGCCCGTGCCACCGCAGGGAATCTTCGGAAATCCTGACAAGCGAAGTACAGTGGGTGGACTGCAGCTCTGTGGGAAACCTGCTGCAAAACCTGACATCTGTATTCAAACTGTAAAAACACTCAAAACAAGGTTGACGCTGAAGGCGCAGACCATACTTCTAAGAGAATGCTGAAAAGCCAGCCTGCAGCGTAACTCCACAGGTTAACTTCCATTAGCGCTCTGCCCTGATGTTACGCTTGCTGTGTCACTCAAGTGGCTGTTCTGTTTCAAGCGCTGCTATTTTGAGGAACAGGGGGAAAAAACCCAAAAAAACCCCAAACCCTTTCAGTTTCCAGAACTGATAGCCACTCCGGGGACAGTACTGGTCCCTTTTTGATGCTTTTTTTTCTCTCTCAGCCTTCCTGGCCGGCTCAGCGCTGCACCGGGCTCATCAGGAACCCAGCTTCAAGCGCCGGGCTCGCGCTGCCTCACAGGCCTTGCGCCCAACGCTCACTGCGACCTGCCCACCTGGTGGGTAGCGGCGAGGACAGGGAGGCTGCTGGGCCCCCCGGCACCGCCGGGGACGGAC